GTAGATATGTGTATATGTATAACTGAACCACTGCTATACACCTGAAACAGACACAACATTATAAACCAACTATACTCCAATAAAAGTTTGTAACAAAGAATTACAGCAAACTTCTCATCAGAAACGATTCAAGCAAGAAAATAATGATATTCAATTTTTAGTGTTCGAAGGAAAAACACCAACATAGAGTTCCCTATCAAATGAAATTAACCTTCAAAAATGAAAGAAAGCTAAAGCCCATCTAGACAAACAAAGACTAAGGGAATTAATCAGCAGAAAACCTGTCCTGCAAGAAATGTTAAAAGATTTTCATCAAGAAGGAAAATGATATATATTAGAAACATGGACCTACATTTAAAAAAGGAAGCGCATCAGAAGAGAAATAGATGAGGGTGAAACAGTCTTTTTCCTTGTTCTTAATCTAAGAAACAGCTGTTTAAGGTAGAAATGGTAACAAAGCATTGGATTGTCATAACAAATGACTAAGTGAAATGAAGGACAGAACATGGTACGGGACATGAAAGTCGCTCAGTCATGTCCGACTCTTTGAGACCCATGGACTATACAGTCCCTGGAATTCTCCAGGCCAGAATACTGGAGGGAGTGCCTTTCCCATCTCCAGGGGATCTTCCCAACCCAGGGATAGAACTCAAGTCTCCTGCATTGAAGGTGGATTCTTTACCATTTGAGCCACAAGGGAAGCCCAAGAATACTGGAGTGGGTAGTTTATCCCTTCTCCAGCAGATCTTCCTAATCCAGGAATTGAACCAGGGTCTCCTGCATTGCAGGAGGATTCTTTACCAACTGAGCTATGAGGGAAGCCAGAATATGGAAAGAGAGGGAGGAATTGGAAATATCTGATATAGGGCACTTGTAATGACACATGAAGTGGAACAGTTTCATATGAAGGTGAATGGAGCTTACTTAAAAATATGTGTTATAACAAAAGATAGTTTTCTTCAAGTGGTGCTGGAAAATCAGATTTCAGATGGAAAACAAGGAAACTCAAGATATTCTTTACCTCTTACATGAAAGTTAAAGGAATAATAGACTTAAATATAAAATGTAAAAATATTAAACATTTAAAAGGATAGGAGAAGAATCTTCATGTTATTGGTTTAGGCAAAGAGTTCTTACATATGACACTGAGTCAATAAAAATATTGTACATTTAACTTTAACACAATTAAAAGTTTTGTTTTGTATAAAACACTGACAACAGAATGAAAAATCAAACTATAGATGGAAGAATATAAATGCAAAGTGTATATATATTACAAAGGACTTGTGTCCAGAATATATAAAGCTTTCTCTAATCACAAAAATAAGAAGGAAGCACAACTAAATTAAAAAGACAAAAAGAATTTGGTAAGGGTTTTACAAGAGATCACGAAAGAATATATGGGAATAAAAAACATGCATATGGAAAGATGTCAAATAATATTGATCACTGGGGTGATTAATAATAAAACTGAAACACTATTATACACCTATTCGAATGTCTAAAATATAGAATTCTGATAATGCCAAGTACTGGTAACACACTGGGATCTTCAGTTTTCCGAAATGCATTTTTATGTATGGTATAATGTATTTTAAGTAGGGGTCAGAGTACATTTGGAAAGTCAATCCATCATGTTATTGAAATTACCACACTCTCTCCACTGCACTGCAATATCACCTTTGTCATGAATTATCTAACGGAATATGTGTGTTCCTAGATGCTCTCTTACTTTCTATTGGTCACGTTGTCCTTGGGCCAAATCTGCCCAATAGGTATTAATAGAGATAAGACCTAGACATACAGGTTAAATGTTCCAGGTTTCCTCTTCAAAACTGCCATGGCCGCTCCTAGACGCATGCTGCTCTGGGTTTTTTAAAGTTGCGCCATTTCCCCAAAGAACTCTTAGCACTTTGACTGGAGTCATTTTGAGTCTATTGACTAATTTGTGAAGAATTTGCAACCTTAAAATGTTTAGCTTTCCAATCTTTGAATATATTTTTCTATTATTCAGTTAGGTCTTCGTTAATTTCTTTTACTTATGTTTTGTGATTTTTCAACACAGAGGTTCTATACATCTTTTGTTAGGTTTATGCTAAACTGTTTGATATTGATTAATTTTGAGTGGGATACTGTTAAATTTTGTTTTTTGCTTGCTGCTGGTGTATAGAAAATGTAATTTAATTTTGCATGTTGATCTGGTATTTAGAAGCACAACTGAATTTACTTATTATTTCAAGAGCTTGTCCAGGCTCAATTTTGAGTTTTCCACACAGGCAAACAAGACATGACTGTGAGATGAGAACTTTGTTTTTCTTCCAATTTTTATTATTATCTCTTTAATTTATTTTCTTGCCTTCTTTGACGGGTCAGGGCCTCTGGTACAATGATAAATAGAAATGGTGAGAGCTAGCATTCTTGTTTCATTTTGTAACTATGAAATGAAAGCAAAATAAAATGTTAACAAATCAAAGAATTTCATTTTGAAATATGCTGAAAATAAAGTCAAAATCTTTCTAAAGAAGAATCCAAAAAATGGTTCAACTTAAAGTTTTAAACATTCATAACTGATATTTTGTCCATTACCTCTACTTTGCCTAAGACAACTATATATGCCTATAAAATAACGATAGCTGACCAAAAAATGAGCTTCTTACCAAAATATTAGATTAAGAAATAAAGTGTTAGTCACTCAGTCATGTCCAACTCTTTGTGACCCCATGGACTATGTAGCCCACCAGGCTCCTCTATCCATGGGATTTTCCTGGCAAGAATACTGGAGTGGGTTGCCGTTTCCTTCTCCAGGGGATCTTTCCGACCCAGGGATCAAACCCATGTCTCCGCACTGTAGGCAGATTCTTTACTGTCTGAGCCACTAGATTAATATTTCATTTAAAATAATAGCAATGCCAAGATATCAAATATATTTGTCCTTTCTCAAACTGTCAACTTTCAATCTATTGACTTTACCAGTTTTAGTTTCTAACTATTAACAAGCACAATAATGTTTAGTTACAGAACAATAACAATGTGTCATTTATATACAATAGAACATAGATATTCCAAAACATAAGTCCCAGAGTTTGGCAAGAAAGAAAAGAGAGCTTGATGAATAATTCCACTCCATTTAACTGACTGAAGGAGAATGACTCAACATCCACAAATGGGGGAAAAAATCAATCCCTCCATGTAACACAATTCACCAAATTATTTCACTTGCAAAGAATAAGCTTAATTCTCAAGGCACAATACAGAGAAAGAAAATTGCATTGTTTAGAGAGTATATTAGCTACTTTGACTTCCAGAGAAGTAAAACAAAGATGATATGTTGAAACGCAATTCAAATGTAATTTCAGATGGGTTTCAGAGGCTTTACATTTTATTTCTACATAGTACAATTCAGAACTTCACCTCCCCAAACACACACACACACACACACACACAGAACTGGCTTAATCCTTATAAGCACTTTATATATACTCTGAGATATTTTGTGTGCTATAGTACAGAAGCTTCAAAATACTAATATGAAGATATTCTCCTAATTTATTGCACAGTCATTCAAAAATTGAAATTTGATGAAGAAATATACAGGGGAAAGAATCAAATAGTGATCTGGAAATAGGTTTTTCAAAAAATAAAATCTGGCCACTTGACATCAAATTGTCAAGTATGTTATAAAGATTTCACTCAGGATAAAATCATAATGTTTGTTATATAATTATTTCTACACATTCCTTTTTCTCCACTGTATTTTGCTTTTACTCCTGCTATGAAAAAGCACCACAAATGCAGTGGCTTATAGCAACTCAAGTCTAGTCTCACAGTCTGTAGGTCAGCGGTCCCATACAGGTCTTTGCAGGTTATGATCAAGGTGTTGGCAGCTCTGCTTCCTTTTCTGGAGGCTCTGGAGGAGAACCACTTCTAGGCTCATTCAGAACCTTGGTAGAGCTCATGTATTTCTGGCTATAGGCCTGATGTCCCCATCATCTTGTGGGCAGTCAGCTGAAAATCATTCCAGACTTCTTAAAGTCACTGCATTCCTGTTTCATCGAGTTCCTCCATCTCTAAATGCAGCCAACAATAGGGAGTCTCTGCTGCACCTGTATCTCCAGTGCCTCCTCCTCCATCTCATCTCTCTGACCCAATCTTCTACCTTCCTCTTCCAATTTTAGGGGTGTGTAATTATCCAGGTAACCCGGGAAAAACTCCCCCATCTCAAGGTCCTTGATGTTAATCACAACTGCAAAGATCCTTTTGTCATGTAGTGTAATGCATTTACGAGTTCTGGGGATTAGAACATGGGCATCTTTGGGGGCCATTATTCTGAACATCCATCTAGACTTTCTGTAACTTTAACTTATTTTTAGAAGTAAGATGTTCATTTCCTTCTTCATTCAGGAAGCTAATCTATGGTGTGGAATTTGTCTTTCAAGGCATTAAAACATAATATGTGCTGTGCTAAGCTGCTTCAGTTGTGTCCCACTCTTTGCAGTCCCATGGACTGGCGCCCACAGGCTCCTCTGTCCAGCGCATTCTCCAGGCAAGAATACTGGAATGGGTTGCCACGCCCTCCTCCAGGGGCTCTTCACAACCCAGGAGTCGAACCTGCATCTCTTATGTCTCCTGCATGGGAAGGTGGGTTCTTTACCACTAGCACCACCTGGGAAGCCCAAAAATAATACACTGCTAAAGTAATAAAGTTAAAAAATAATTAAAAAAAAATAAAAAGCCTTCTCAGGTGGTGCAGTGATAAAGTATCCACCTGCCCATGATTGATCCCTGGATTGAGAAAATCCTCTGCAGTAGGAAATGGCAACCCACACCAGTATTCTTGCCTAGAAATTTCCATGGACAGAGGAGCCTGGCCGGCTACTGTCCACGGGGTCGAAAAGAATTGGACATGACTTAGTGACAGAACAACAATAATATATATACAGCTCTGCAGAACTGAAGCCTTTTTGGTTAAAGACCAAGGGGTAAGAAGACTTCAGAGAAGACGTGTGTGTGCGTTTTGAAAAATACCTGCAATGGCCTTTTAAGAGATAACCAAGGATGCTTTAGTTGCTAAGGACCCCTGATGAAGTCACCAGAAAACGGTATTACTGACACTCAGCAGCAGCATTCCACCAGTTGACTAAATGGGAAAGACAAGCCCACCCTGAAAGATCTAGAAGCTCTCTCCCAGAACAAATACCCCCACCAAATCCCCTCCAGTGAGAAGGACACATGACACCCCTCTGGTGAGTGACTTCAGTTATCCAGGGTTCTGACTGAGGGCTCCAATTTCCAGTCCTCATCATCAGGAGGGGGACGTTAATTAGACTTTGTCTCTCTTTTCCACAATCCCTTGGACTGAGGCCCAGAGATTTATCACTAACTTTCACACACTTACTAATTCCTTTGAGGCTGAAACAGTAATACATATAATTGGACTTTTCTTGGACACCTTTTAACTGCTTCACCGTGCTCAAGAACCCAAGAGCAAAGAAATGTCCAAGTCAAGAAAACAGAAAAAAATAACTCTGAGTAAAATGTTCACTGGTCTGAGAGAGAAAAGGAAGCTCTAGGGTGACTGAGGCAGTGAGAGACCAAGACAGAGAAAAGGTCAAACTAGAGTCAAAATAGTAGAAAAATGACCTGTGGAAGTTCAAATAGCAAGTTGAAGAAAACAATGAAATGATACTGGAAACAAAGAATACTGAGATTACAAGAAATACATCATAATTGAAAGAGTGGTATTAATTACGTGTACTTTAACTCATTGATATGTGAATTTATCTTTACGCCTATATTTATTTGACTTTTCTTAAATTTTTACTTCTTTAGCTTTTTGTGTTGGAGATATGATTCATTATTGCCATCCTTTCAAGACATGGTACCAAGTAAAAGGGAAATGAGATCTGTTTTTACAGAGCTTATAGTCATGGAACATACCCTCTAATATACAATTTGTGCTATCCATAGAGCTAGCTCCGCAGTTGTAGTCGGTAAGTTGTATCTGGCCCCATGGACTGTAGCCGCCAGGCTCCTCTGTCTGACGCATCTCCAAGCAAGAATACTGGAGTGGGTTGCCATTTCCTTTTCCAAGCTCCACAGTAATAATGGCTAATGGATGGCTGGCCCCATATCACTCAGAATTCATCAGATGTCTCATAGAACATATTGCAGACACATCGATTTTATGGTCAATTGTTATTTTGAGTGTTTTGACTACTCTTCCCACTTCCAAACCTGCCCTTAGGCAATAAGTACTAGCACCTACCCACTTACTCAAAACTTGAACTCATTTTCTCACTCCACAAATCCCATCTACCCAGTCTTGCTAATTCTGTCCCCAGAAGAATGTACCTTAGTGCTATTTTACAGCCGATGGCAACATTTGTATCCAAGTCATCAAATTATCTTCCCTGGACTACAGGATGAGATATGTAGCTTTTTTTTTTTCCTACTTATAATTCACTTCATGTACAACCCCATAGTTCTGTACTTGAAGTATAAATCAGGTCATGACAATTCTGTATCTAAAATCTTCTCACTGCTGTGTAGTGCAATTAAAGAATAAATACCAAAATGTTAACTGTGGTGCACCGACATTCATGATTGAGCCCTGCCGAACATTCTGAACTTGCCACTAGCTCATTCTGGTGCCTCTCGGGCCTTTTATTTTATTCTTTGGGATATTTTATGCATTGTTTTCCTCTGCTAGAAGATTTCTTATCAAGCTAACCCATCCTATTTTGCCTTTTTCTTATTTACTTCTTTTTATCCTTTAGATTTTAGCATAAAATCACATAGAATTTCGTGACCTAGGGTCACAGAAAACCATCTCGAGAATATATTTACCTTGAAGAAGAGATTAGACCGAAAAGGCATAAGGAAAGGATAATTCGATTGTTTTTGTGAAACAGATCCTTATGAGCAAAAACTGGGTTTAAAGAAGTGAGCATAGCATGGATATAGCTGCAGTAAGGGTCCAGATATCACAGCGACTTTCAGCCTGGCAAAGAGCCAGATCACTTTTGAATCAGTTATCAGTTGTGTGAACATGTCAATATATAGGAGATCAAAACAACATTAATTTATTTAGCTGACAATTCTGTGAGCTGGAAATTTGGACTGAGCTTTGGTAGATGGTTCTGGTCTGTTCTAGGTTTGGCTGACTTCAGCCTGGCTTCACAGGGTCCTTCACCCGGGACTGATGGGCCTAGGATGCCTGCTCTGGGACAGACTCCCTCTCCTCTGTATGACATCTAATTTTCCAGTAAGATTGGCTGGGGCTTAGTCACAGGGTGGTTCAGCAAACTCTCAAGAAAATAGGTGTTTAAGGCTGCTTGAAGCCTGGGCTTGAAACAGCCATGCTATCCCTCTGATGAGTTCTGTCTGACGATGGAAGTCACAAGGCCAATCCAGAGTCAGAGGTGGGGGAAACAGACTTCATTTACAGATGGGAAAAACTGCAGTGTCACATTGCAACAAGGCATGGGTAAAAGGAAGAAAATGGAATATCTGTGGCTTTTTTTTTTTTTTTACTGTTTGTAACTGGATTCAAAATAGGAAGAAAGAGAAGAAACAGTAATGGGATATTATTTACCAAACCCTCACGTAATCTAATATTCATGTGTCTTGGTTAGAACTTTCTGGTTTTAATTAAGAAATCTGAATTGACTGATATGGGTTAAAATGATCACTTATTTAAACAGCATATCATAGACTTAAGGGACAAGATGTAACGGATCTTCAGGTTATTTTATAGATTTTCACGGGAATAAAGAGGGTTGTTTCAGTAAGTTCTCCACTTTGTTATCTCTAGTGCATTTTCATAGGTATTCCCTGCTGGTAGTAGTATCATTTTTAAAACATATATTCCCTACCATTGACTTAATGGATTTTAGCCCTCAGTGTGTAAGCATAATTTCCAATTATTTAAAGAAAACATTGTTTTGAAAGAAGAGTTGGCTCTTTCACAACTACTTTGTTGGTAATTTTTATTTCAAATTAATTGCCTTTTGAAACATGGATTCAAGTAAAATTTTCAAGTAAAATGCTATAATTCTTCAGTGCTTATATGTATATGGACAATATTCTGTTCCTTTTTTCTTGGATGATATCCTGGCTAGGTAGAGAATTTTAAATATATATATTTGCCTAACTATCTCTGGATAATCCATTCACATATCCCTCTTTGAACGAGATCTTTTCAAGAGAATGGTCTTCCAATCCAAACACCTAATCTAGTCATTTACAAACCTTATTCCATCTTCTTCAGGATTTGGTTAAGATTCCCCTGGGCTGTTGTTGAAGAAAATTGATGTGGTTCCTGAATTCTTTCATTAATCAAATCACGCTATCTTCACTCTCATCTTTTACATAAAATCTTACTTTACAGGTCCTGGTTGTTAAATTTTCTTTGGGTGTTGACTAATGTACTGTTTATTTTTAAAAAATCAAAATTTGAGTAATATATATCATAATACTGAGGGAAATATGTTAGCAAGTGATATAAAATTCATGGTGAATTCCAGTAAAACACTTAACAGGTACTAAGTGTTCTCTGGGGGTAACATCACAAACAACCTTATTGAAGCAAAGGAGAATTTAGGTAACCTTGATAGACACTCTGGGATGTTTATAAAGCAGTGATAACTGTGTAAGCACACTCATTAGGAAAAAATTTTCTATTACTGACTTCTGTCAGTAATACAAAAGACAGGTCACAGAAGGACTAGATATGAGACGGGTGAAGAAACGCACTTGCTCTTCCACATAATATTTTTTATTTTCTCTAAGACATTCAAAAATACATAGCAGTTTTTTTTTTTTTCCTTTTAGGAAAAAATTTAATTAATGTAGATATTCACATATTCTCTTACATAACAATTTTTATAAATGTATATACTTAGAAATTGCAATTTTATATTCAATTGAATATCCTTTGAAATGAAATTATTTCAACTTCTCTTATTTAATTTCTTTTTCTAATGTAGAACTCCATTTTTTTTTTCATTTTTAAAGTGACTAAGCAGAACTACAACAATTCTCTTTATTCATTAAAAAAAAAAAAAAACACTGCTGTTTACATACAAAATAAAGGCACCAAATGAGCAAGTTTTCAATTTGTTTCACAATGAGATGCTGGCAGTTGGGAAAAAATATTAGTTTCAGAACTTATCAACAGATTTAGAGGGATATTTAATGCTTATTTATCTTGCTTCTATTTCTTGTCAAGCATTTGCTGGTATCTGGAAAATAGTGTTCTGTCATAGATTAATGTTAAGCTATTTCTCAGGAATTGAAATCATTCCCAAGAATATTAAATTGCCAAGTACTGCTCCATTTCTGATCAGTATTTTAAAAGACAAGTCACACGCGATAGCATGTGGGTATTCTGTTTTACACTCTAGGTATAGCCCTGATAAAAATGCTATTAGACACACATTGTATTGATCATTATAAACAACAGCATTTTGAAGGCTACAGCAGCTACTTGGAGAGTGGGAGACAGTTCTTTCTCCATGTAAATATTATTCTCATTTAAACATAGCTGTAGGCTCTTACACTTTGAATCATCTTGCAACAAATTTGAAACATAATGAGAAACAGTGGAAAAGAAAGTTATTGAACTTAGAATGATCAAGTCAGAAATGCCTCGGAGTAGCCTTTTAAATATCATATTAAAGAATGGGAGATGGTGAACTTCCTTAAAACTATAAACTTTTCTAAACAATGAGGAACTGCTTGAATACAGTAGATATTTTGCCACATTACATGAAAATGTGTATAAACTTTTTAGGGATATGTGATGTGTTAGAGATATATGTAAAATTAGAGACACATAATATATACTTGTACATTGGCGACCTCCTCTGCTTGTAATATATTCTTGAATATTCACTTATGTATTCATAATGCATATCTTGAAAATATGAAATTTCATTTTCCTTGAAATTATTGATGCCTTATTTTCTCCACATATAAATATCAGTTAGGAAGTTATTCTACAAAGAATAGGTGTAAGTAACTCTGGAGAAATCAAGCACACACTTTTATCATGAGCAGTTCAGAAGGCTTTCTACCTTCAGGCTCTAAAACGTGAATCTTCTCAGAGGAGCCTGCTTTGCCAGCAGCCTTTGCAAGTTTTTTGTGCTTTTCTCTCCAGTCCTCATACATGCTGTCTCCAAAGTGAGGACGTGACTTCCTACTTCCTTGTTCTGAGTTGCTTCTTCTATAGCAGCTCCCTCTC